CAAAATGCAGAACCTACTGGGCGGCAAAAGCCTTCACTCATTGGCCACTGACTGCTCTGCCAGCAGCCCCAGATTTCACATAAAGAGGTGTGTTTGGGGCTGGGGAGCCTGCAGGAGAAGAGAGACAGAAGGCAGCGGTGATCCTCCTCCTCCTCAGTGGGTAATCCCTCCTGTTGCTGCTTCTGGACAGGTGCCCTCTGCTCCTTGCCTTTATCCACTGCTTTTGCTCTCATTCCTATGCAGAACATGGGCACTGGGTGACACTGATCTCTTTCCAGCCTGGAATTGTCCAGCTGCCTTCAGAGGCTGGCATCTGGATAGCACTCAGTGCTCCAATCTGCCTTTCTTGCTCCACAGCTTACCAAAATTCCAATTCTGTTACGGTTGAGGTCATGTTTTCACTGATGCTCAAGAGATAACGGTGTCCTTCTCCAACTTGGAGAACAACAATACCTGGCTTGGTCTCTGAATACCATGACAGGCTGCAGATGAATGATCCATCAGTCAGTGTAGGTTTCAGAGTAGCATGTTGTGTAGCATACAGAAGCAGAATCAAAATTCTCAATGCAAGAAGGCCAATACTCAAAAAATCAGTGACAGGATTTTGGAACAATAGGGCATGAAAGGGAATGTAGGGGCTTCTAGTCTTAGATGTCTTGGAAACTCAAAGTAGAGGAGATGGTGTGGCCTGGTTGCTCAAGATACATTCATGAACTATTTGAATATCTGCAGCTTCTTCTCAGTTCACTGTACTGTAGAAGATTTTGGTGTGGGTCATTCCAGGCATGTTATAAGCTGTTGCTCATCTCTCAGTCAGGAGATACCCATTCCATGTCCTTTGGTCTTGTTGTGTCAGTTCGTTGCAGGTAAGGATTTCTCATCCCAGCCGTGGCCATGAGGATCCTTTTCCTGCTGCTGGCTGTGCTCTTTGTGGTGCTCCAGGCTGCTGCAGGTAAGGCGTGACTTGGACAGGCTGGAAAATGGGCTGTCAGGAACCTCGTCCAATTCAACAAGGGGAAGTGCAGAGTCCTGCACCTGGGGAAGAACAGCCCCAGCACCTGGACATTCTGTGGGCAGCCGGCTTTAGAGAATGTGCATCCACTTTTGTTCAGTTCCATAGAAAATGATTTTTTTTTTTTTTTTCACTGTTCAGGTCAGCGCTACTTTCCTAGGCCTATTGATACTTGTAGGCTTCGAAATGGAATCTGCACTCGAGGTATCTGTCGGAGGCCATATTACTGGATTGGAACATGTAACAATGGAATGGGCTCTTGCTGTGCAAGGTATGTGGAAGTGCAAGTCATTCTTATGGCTATGTGTCACAGCTACCAACATAACCATGTGTCACTCCTCCAATGACCACCTTGCTGGCATAGAGGGTCTTCAGGGGTTGTTCACATCCTATTGCAGCATCCGTTCTGGTGCCATGAAATACAGCAGATAAGCACCTCCAGATGAGTGGCACCACAGACAACCTGCTGAAGAGGCAAGCTAAGACTGTCTCCTTTTTATCATATAGGGGCTGGAATAACTGATACCTCCCTGACTTCTCCTGGGGAATCCTTCTTGCATCTACCAAATGGCCTCTCCGGCACTCCAGCTCCATCATACCTGCTGGCACCACATCCTCCTGCAAAAAAAAAAAAAAAAAAAAAAAAAAA